CTGTGATTGATAGAGTTTCAGAAGTAGTTGAAAGGGCCCGGATTTTAATTTTGGGTTTTGGCCTTTTTTGATTGATTGGGGGGGGGGGAAACGACAAAATTTTGCAGTTTATAGTTTTTTATTGTGATTCTTCTTATAATTATGTATTAGCATATTGTTCTTTTCCTTGCTGAATCCGCCTGTCCTGAAGAACATACAGGCCTTCTAGAATTCAACTGTAAAATTTGAACTGCACATGTTAAGAGGCAGGTTCATTTTATAACCACAATTAAAATTCTAAAATTATCATATATGACAGTGCTTGCTGGGATAAGCAGTTGAACTACAATAACTGATTGTTGAATAAAAAAATTTATGAGTATAGAAGAATACTAACTTTATAGCATGTAAGCATCTGGTCATATGTAAAACTTAAGTCGTGTGGTTAAGTATTGATTATACTACTTTTAACTTCCTTTTGGATTATAGAGTTGTTTTGGCTCTACTTTTGTTTCAAAAAGTACATATTCATTTAAAATTAATGAATTCTGCATTAATTAATGGTTTCTAATACATCCCTGATATGTGATCTACAGACTGAAAGTCATTTTAGGAAATGGAAAAAAAAAAAACTTTAGATCTAGATTTATTATAGGGGAGTTTGCATGATATCCAGGAAAGAGTCACAGAAAAGAGGAAGTCAATGCACAATGAGAGCCAAAAGTTTAGTCGAGGAACTTGGCTGAGAATTTTAAAAAGAAAAACATAAGAAAGGAATTTAGAAAGAACAAAAGCGCAAGAGTTGAAATTCGATTAGACCTTGGAAAGTAGGTCAGTTTGCTTGGGCAGAGAAGAAGAGATTGGTGAGCCTTGAGCCAAGATACTGAAGTGAAAATAATAACTAGGTTCCATTTAGAGATATGTCAGTCAGGACTGTTTTGACTGCATGGGAAGAAAATCCAAACCAAACTCATTAAGTAAAAAGCAAATTTATTATTTTATGTTATCAGAAAGGCTCAAAGGTTGAGTCTGTCTTCACCGGTGGATGCATTAAGCACTCAGTCAGGGTGTGATTTTTTTGCCCTCAATTTCCCCAACCCTCCACTTAGCCTCCCTGTGTTGGCTTTAGACTGCAGCTTCCCATGATACAGGATGTGGGAAGCAGCTGCAAAGTCTCTCATTCAGTCAAAATGAGGATTCACTGAAAATGTACAAGTCCCAACAGAGTCTCTTCATGTCTAGTAAATGGGTCAGTGCTTCTCCTGAACCAGCTGTGGGAGTGGGGAATGCATGAAGCCGTCTTGGTCTGGGTACAAGCTGAATCCCAGCCAACTCTCAGAGATGGGGGTGGCTTCTCTTCCCTGGAACTACATAGAATAGCAACAGGGGCTGTCTAAGGGAAACTGAGGTTAACCATTAGCATAATTGAATGCACACCGTGCAAGAAATTTAAGTGTTTGCTAACAGTGAACAATGAGTCTGCTGTTGTTGTGGGATCATTTTGGATAGTCACAGTAACTAGACACTGGACATTTTTTATTGTAAGCACATTGTGAATGCTAGGACAAGGAATTGGACTTTATGAGGAATTATAAATAAATAGGACCAGGGGATAATTGACCTGTCAGTTGTGTGCAGGCTGTTCTAGGAGCTGGGTACTCAAGAGGGAAATAACGTGACCTCTGTTGTACTTTCCCATATTTCAAAATCCAGTGTTGGTAGAGTATCTATTGTGTGCTGTGAACTGTGGCAGATGCAGAAAGGATGTGCAAGATCTAGTCTTGCCCTCCAAAGAATCCATAATGTGGCAAGAGAAAATGGTACCTTCATCACGTATGGTGTAAACAGGGTTTACAGTGAAGGCTGTCTTAGATTTCACGAGAACATAGGGAAGAAGTTTCTAGAAGAACCAGTCTGTGCAACAGGAAGCAGAGTGAGCTGAAGACCAGGGAAGAAAAGATCCTGGGACTTCTTTAAGCTCATGTCCAGTGGTAGTGTGTATAACTTCAGACTATTTCAAGACTCTGGGGAGGTAGAAAGCTGCCTCCATCTCTGCAGGCCTAGGTCTCCCTAGAAATTTACAGCCCCAGAATAGGAGTATCCTCACAGTGGAGCCTGGCTTGCCGTGTGGAGAGAGATTTCTCAGGTAGTGGGCATGGGAGAGCCCTGTGCTTTGGCTCTTTATTGCTGCCCCTGCCCCTGCAGCTTGTTCACATGGGGGCAGCAAAGCAGTGAGGTACTGGAGCGCAATTGCTGCATTTCATTCTGTTTCACTAGATTTCAGTGTAAATGGGAAGACACCATTGGAGTTTATGCCAGAGGAGAATTGAATTCTTTTCCTAGTTAGCGATATGAGGTGGGCAGGTTTCTCCACGTGTCTGGCCTCAGTTTCCTTGCCTGGAAAGGCAGAATATAAAATGAAGATGTCTCATACATTTGACTTCAATTCTGAGAGACTACAAATCCAACAGAAACCACCAAAACGCCTTATTCCACAACACACGATTATGACATGATACTTTCCCCAAAATAACAGGTATGATTAGTAGTGAATTGGCACAGCTGAAAATGTGGGAGCACTGAAGCATGAGGGTTCACCTACAAAGGTGAACGTTTTGAAAGCTGTTAACTGGGAAAATTGGCATGAGTGGTGAGGGCTGATCACTTCACAGTTTCCGGGCAAGGGCTCTCTAGGCAGGGGGACAAGTAAGGAAGAGAAAATATTTATTCTTGTAAGGATTTAAAGAAAGGAAAGCGAAAATGAGGGGACTGTAAGCACGGGCTGGACACTGAGTGTCACCAGCCTCCACATAACGAGGCTTCCCGTATTTGTGGAAAATGCCTATTTCAGTGACTGCAGCCAAAAGCAAGGCTTGGAGTAACTGAGTAGATGGGGAGATGAGGTAAATATGGAAAAGGTGCCAGTACGAGTGAGGCAGGCAAGGATTCTGAGATAATTTCTAACATGACCTTTGTTTCACTGTTTTCTTTTGACGTGCAATTACCTAATTTTAAAATTGTACCTTACATCAAATTATAAACAGAAAAACACCTTCAATTTCTGGGAGCATTAGCATTTAGAAAGTGTTTACCCATCCAACTCTGGGAGGGTGGAAAGAATTACTCACACTGCTTTCTTAATAGAACTGAGGAAATGGTTCACACAGTCAGCGGTAGAGGACCGAGGAATCCAAGTTCCCAGCAGCCTTTTCCTCCTGAAGTCAGAAAGCCTTGGTGCACCAGTCAGCATGCAGTAGAAGGCCCAGGGCCTTTTCTTTCTCAAGAAGGTAGAAGTAGAAATATTTTTGATGACCATAAAAAGAGTTTATATTACTCTGGGATTAACGACAGAATGGTTTTTATGTAAGTCAGACTAAATAGACGTCTGTTTTTTTACAAACATTCAGCTCTACCCAAACAGAACATTTTTCAGTTTGCTTTGAAAGCAAAATACCATATGTTGTAACTTTACAATGTTTTAAATAAAGTTAGGAATTTGGGCTTATGATGCTAAAAATAAAAATTGATGGATATATGGCCAAGAATTATACATGTGAGGGTCCTTAAAAATTTGACAAGTAGAAGAATCAAATGTAGACATGTCAGCAAGCCAGTTATTGAATCACTGCATCAACAATCTAGTGAAACGAGAAGTGAATTATTAAGGTTTATCTTCATTGATTTCTAACACTGTTATTCAGTGTGTGGATAGTTTTTAAAGTAGGACAGCTCACCCTAACGAAGCCATTTACTGTACTAGTTCTACACACTGTCTTTCTCTCTTTATTACTTCATTTTGGATCTTTGATTGCCCTATGTTAGATCTAAGATTGCTCTAATGCAATGTATGAGGGGCTTAGTTTCACTTTGTTCTCAGAACCAGGCTGGCTATAAATTTACCCCTGTTCTTTGAAGAAGCTAACAGTAAATTTTCAAGAGGAAAAATGGTGGTCTGTATCCTGCAAAGGAAAAGTAATCTTTTAAAAGCAGAATAACCTCCAGGCTACATCCTTTTAAAGAGGAAATTTCAAACAAGGACTCCTTCAACTTTTATGTGTATTCTATATCTTTCTTCAAGTTTCCTACCTGCTCTTCTGCTGTCTGTGTAAGGTTTTTCTGTAAGGACCCATTGCTCTCACCCACAACACACACACACACAGACACACACACATATGCACATACACCAATTAAATTGATAATGAAGTCATGCCTTTCCTAATTCTGATGTCATAATAACTTCCAGAGCTATGGCTGGATAGCACATCCTGAAGATCATCTGAGGTTTCCTCAGGAAAATGATGCCTAGAAACCAGGAATTAGAATACTAACAACATTGAATCTTAGTTCCATAAATTGCCACATTCTACATTGAAAATTAACTTTGTAAAGTAAAATACATGGGAAGGTTTCCATTTGGCTTAATTGCATTCAAAGCAGTTTTCAATTTCAGGCATTGGTTTCATTAAAATTAAACCAATCCTTCTCAGAGATTCAGCCACATGCCCTCATCAACAGATAATAAGATAATTTAGAATGAGGAGGTGCTAAAATAACAGGATGAGCTTGTGGCTCAGTTTCTATGCCTGACAACTTCATCACCTTTCATCTTTATTACACAGCTGCCCTGAGCTGAATCTTGATGAAGGAGGCAGGCCCAGCATCCCCAAGTGTCAGACCTATAGGCCTGGGGTCCCACTTACCAGGGGTTCTTCAGCTTGCCTACAGGCAACTCAGGATAACAGATGAGGAGCTCGGGGCAGTCTGGGTAGGGTGAGGAGAGATTGAACCCACATCATCCATCCTGCCTGTGCCTGCTGATGTCATGACCAGGGGCTCAAAGGAGTTGCATCTGGGGGAGCACAGTGTCCCCCAACTGTGGAGACTATTGTCAACAAAAGTGAGCCATCGTGACAGTCTAACTTGGCCAGCATATTTTCTGATCTCAGAAAGTTCCGGAAAGAATTTCTTTTGCCATTTCCTTCAGCCTAATTGTCCTCTTTCTCATTTTATGCCCCTGCTAGACCACCGCTCTTGATAAGGAGAGGCAGGTTTTCCGACGAAGACGCAACCAGGATGTGAGAAGCCGGTATAAGGCACAGCCAGCTCCACCTGAACTCAACTCGGAATCGGAAGACTACTCCCCAAGTTCATCCGAGACTGTTCGCTCCCCCAATTCGCCCTTTTAATAAGATCCTTTTACTCGAAGTCCTAGCTTAACCCTTTGAGACTCTGAGATTTTTCCCCCCAAATTTATGTAATATGGTTTCATCTGATCCACCTAGCACTCGATGCTTGAATGGCAGAACAGAAGGTGTGTTTTCTGGTATCTTTGTAGCAATTTTCCTTTGCTGAATGAGATGACTTATTGTTTGTCAAGATGGCAACTTGCTGCTAATTGGGTCCTCAAAGGGTTAAAGCTAATTTGCAACTTTTTTTAAACATAGAAGCAATGAATGTTTTCATCAGTCAAGCTAGGGTCTGCAGTATGTAATATAGCACATGTTAACCCTCTGAGTGCATAGAATTTTATGGAGAAGCCATGGGGAACTTGTCAGGCCTTTGGATGTATAGCACATGTTTCTTGATTTTGCTGCAGATCAAGGAATGTTATTAGGTGCTGAGATGTCCAGATAAGATGGGCATCTCGGATAATTTTTTGCTTGTCCTTTTGGCATGGATTTAGTACATGGCAGGTATATCATGTAGGCATAGCACCCCTCTTTCTTGCCAATTCTATTAAGAAAGGGACTTAGTAAAATTAGAAAATGACTATCAACTGCCCAGTTCTGCATCCCGAGTGGAGGGAACTGGGTTTGTGGCATACAGCCTGACCCAGGATATAGTGGTGCCCCTCCACCAAAAGATTGTCTCCATCAGAAGATGTGCTGACGACGCCCCAGAAATGCTGCTTCCATATCAGCTGCTGCTAGTGCCAACACAGAACCTCGGGAAGTCACCATTTCTTGTCTTGTGCTCGGTGAGTGAGGGTCTGCTGCTCAGGTTGAGAATCTACGAAAAGAAATAACCAGTGGAAAAGAGCAATAAATTGCCAGGTGCTCTCTAGGGCTGGGATTTCAAACAGAAAGAGGAACAGATCCTGTTCTTTTTCTCACCCCCTTTTTCATGCACTGCAGTCTTTCGTGTCAATTCCATACAGAGTATAACATCCACATGTAGGAGCTCTGAGGCAGAGGGCCAGAGGCAAGTGCTTTGCAAAGTGACTAAAGAGAAACCACAGTGGGGAAACAATCTAGAATGTTCTTTTAAAAGGGTTTTTAAGGAAATAAGCCACTGTTAAGACAATTTCATGTGAGCCCCTAGGTTATCTACCTAGAGCTTCCCAGAGAGAGAAGGAGGATGGGAGACCCAGAAGACACCCCTGAGGATAAAGCATTCATTCTCTAGAATGACCTTTTTTAATACCACTATCTTGAGCTGTCCAGAGGGACATGTTGTGTTTTTGATTTTGGGCCAAATCCTGTCTGAAACCTTTATTTTCACTCCTATTACCAAATCTTTCTTCCTAGCCCTATGTCTGATGAGTTATTTCTGGAATATGTTATATTTCAGAAGGGGCATCTGCCATTGTCTGCATGTCACTGCAGAGTTTCAAGAGGAGGCTAACCGTGTGTCCTAGAGACAGGACTCCCACTCAGATATCCTCCCAAGGTCTCCAAAGCTGTGTGATCCAAGAGACAGGAGTGAGTAATGTCTCAGAAAATTTGCATCTGAAAGGCCAACATTTTTTTTGAATATACTTCAATGTCTGAAAATCTAGACATTTGTATATCACATTTCTATAGTCAGTTCTTTATTTTCAGATATACTCTGGTCCTCAATTTCTTTTTCACTTTTCAACTCATATACTATGGTCTAGAGTAACATAGATTTAAAAGTCACAACATGTCAGGACTTTTGCAATATAGTCTCCCTGCCCGTTTGCTCTTCCACATTTAGGTTTACCTCATCCAACACACAGATGGTGCATTTAAAATAAACAGAGGGGGAAATGTGGATAAACTTCTAAAAGTGCTTGTCTTGACATGTAAATAGTTGATTATTTATTGAAGAGTGTTCCCCCTTTTAGGGAGTTCTGATGACATCACACAATATTCCAAAGCGGAAAGTCAGTTGGCTGTTTGGAGGGAAGGAGAATAATGGTACACCAGGAAAGGTTTTGGTGTATAGAAAGATGCCACATTGGTAAAGCATTCTGAACTGCTCAGAAATCGCTAGTTTCTCTAGAATGATAAAGCAAAGCACTGTCTGAAGGTTCAGGAGTAGGAATGTAGCTTGGCCTCAACTCCAAATATGTGAACATGGAGACTCTGTGTGCAGAAATCTACCTGCAGTAGATTGTCATTTTCCTTTCTTTGAATAATTGATTAATTGATTTTCGTGTGGACATTTCATGTTTTGCTACAGCATCTAGTGTACAGAATCTTCAGTGCACAGCTCAGGCCTCATTCCAGTCTGTCTTTGGGAGACTGAACTGTGTGAAGCTGTTGGGGTATTTCCCAGCACACTGCAGACGGGGCAGCTTTGCAGAAAGCTGGGCCCATTCCGCATGGGGATCCCAGGGCATTGCTGTAGAATGTGAGTGATCTATGCTGAATAAACAGTGGAATGTGACCTGTCAAGTAGAAATATTGAGTAATCAGATGGAATGCAATCTTTTCAGCATTAAACTACTGAGATCCTGAATGTCAGGGTTGTACTCAGAGGGTTAACAGACAAGCACAAGGCATGCTGATTACGTTGGTGTATCCAGACTGCTTTGCTTTTAGCCAGTGCTTTCTGATTTTTTTCATGACATTCTTGGGATAGTTCGAGTATGAAATAATTAAGTGGTGGTGTTCTTTAAGGAATTTCTATAACCAAATTGATCTTATTTTTATTTTACTTTATCATAGAACAAATATGTACCATTATGGCAGTGTATCTCTGTAATTATCAATTTAATCATTGCCACAAGTGTTTCCATATTTTTTTTTCTAAGTATTTAATATAGCTCTTAACGGTGGTGGCCTGGTGATGGGGACTGTCTTTACTTTATTGATACATGACCAACCATAGGGTATTTTCAAGGGAATTTTAAGATTCACCTTTTCAGTTTGGTAGTAGACTAGTTAAGGAAGAACTCCTTCATTACTTGCATCGTGTAAATCATCTCTGTAGATGAGAACTGTTCATATTGATGAACATGTTTTTTCTTGACATTGTAGCAGAAACCATTTTCTTCATTATAATCAATGGGTATGTGATTTGCTCCAGATCGTTAGAAGGAAGAGTAAGATTTCAGTCATTAAAAATTTTTTTTACCGTAGCCCTCATCTAACTTACATGTGGTGCATATTAAAATAAGCAGAGGGAAAAAATGCAAATAAACTACTGAAAACCCTTGGTGTTTTGTATTCAATGAGACCTCCCTGCAGCCTGCTTAGCATCCCCATGGGTTGTGGTTAACAGGCCCATCAGATATTGTTGAAAGAAAGCAATCTATCCACAAACGCAGGCTAAAATTGCAATCCTTTACCCTTTGAGGCATATTTCAGTTGGAAAAAAAATAAAGAAGAAAAATTGGTTAGCTTTGGGTCACAGAGGTACTGTATGACCAAGACTCACGCACATTAAATCACAGTTGTTTGCTGGCCAAAGGCACCCACTAGATAACTCTATCTCCTCCGCCCCCACCTGGAGATTGTGCTTCTGGGAGAGCTTTCTTAATGTTACTGCCATGGCCTGCTAGCCCTTCCCTGAGTAAGACTCTCTCAGTATTTTCACGATAAACTTCTTTTTTCAAAGGTTTTTAATTTGACCATTAAAAGCCATGCCTCAGGCTGAAGGTTGCCACTGAAGGTCCGCACCAAGAATAAAGGTTCATTTCCTTTTTTCCTGTGCCCAGTTCTCTCCAGAAACAAACAGCAACAACAACAACAACAAAAAGCTGGTCTATCCTGTCCTTCTTTGTACTTGCAGAATTTTGGAAGGCACCAAGAGTCAAGATGACAGTTTTACTTACTTATTCAACTGAATGTGGGTTTTTGGAAAAAAAAAAAAAAGGAATCTCCCAGCATAATCTGTAAATCATTCATTTTTTAAACTGCTACATGGTGTTTTACTTATTTATTTTTGGTTTTGGTTCAAAGTTAAAAAAGAAATTGAAGAAGTTGGTCAGTTGGTCAGTTCCAAGGTTAGCCTTTCCTGCGTGTTGTCTGCCATTTCCATTAGGAGTTCGAGAAATATACTCTCAGACCCTTACTTTGCATGCACTGATACAGGGTCAGATACATACTTCTGTGGGAGATACGGATTTCTTTTTATAATCACCAAGTTTCATGAAACCATTCTAGTCTGTTGGGGAAAATGATGATTAAAAGCACTTCCAAAATTAACATTTTTACTGATACAGATGTGATAAGTAGACCATATAATATCATACTTTCCATCCTTGTTCATTTAAAGGTAAATACAGCAACAGAAACTTGAAGATACATTAAACATTTGATCACTACAAATGTGCTTTAAAAATTGGCTCAACGGTGCTTATACATGAAACAGTAACAAATGGGATCCCTAGGACTGTCAGAAGGAATCTTTAATTTGTATGTAATTACATACTTGAGGAGGAGGTGCTTTTAAGCCAGTCTTTCATTTTTTAATCATCGCAAATATGCATCCATCCATCCAGTAACTTTAAGGGTCATAAACTGGTGGGAAACAGGAAGTTCAGTGTAGAGGCTTTGAATGCCTCTGGTTGGGTGTTTTTTTCCCCCCTTTGGTTTTTTTTGTTGTTGTTGTTGGGCTTCAACACTGAAGCTGCCGTGATCATTTTTCAGTGAGTGAGCTTCTAACTGGCAGGTGTTTTGATCATGAGGTTTGCAATATCTTGCCCTTGGAGACAAGTGAGAGGTCTAGTTTCATTCTTTTTCCCTAAAAGGAAGAGCACTCTACAATTAAATGATACCTGTAAATTTCCTCAACATTCTTTTTTGGTTAACTGAAGTGAGACCCTTAATGTTGCTTTAATGTAAAATTGTATATTTTTGTCTGTGATATACTTTATTAATTTAAAGTAAATAATAGTTCTAAAAGCCTTCACTGTTGGTAAAAAGAAAGTAGGATTTAAAAGGTGATGATAAAGATGCTATAATGTCAATTCATTCCAGTCCAATCGAATGTGGTAAGAAAAAGACCTTGAATAGTTCTCTAGGGACAATTTCTCACTTGCCATTGACATTAATCTTTGATGTATTCTCAGAAAAAATAAAAGGAAATTGAAACTGGTCCAAGGTTAGAGTCATAGCCTCGATAACTATTTTTTTTTAATTTTATTAGGAAATTAATAATAGCCTTTTTCATTCTGGCTGAAAGAAAATTATTAAAGGATTAGTTGAGTGTGAAATTAAATAGTATTTTGCTCATGCATACTAAAAAGGTGGTCTAGGAACTTGACGCATTTAAACAAGTTTCCAAAAGGTTTCAATTTGGTACAAGAAAATAATTCAATGTTTTGAAAATACTGAATTTATCAATTGCTGCATGGATCAGATGACATAGGTTAATCTTTGATTTTCAGAATCTTAATGAAACAACTTTCAAATGATTTGTATCCATGATTAAAGCTGGAATGAGATCCAATTTTTCCCCTAATCTCTCAGTTTAAGCTAATAAATGTAGGTTAATGTGGAATGAAATCATCTGTGATATATTATGTTCATTTATCAACTGAGCTTTTTGATGTTGCCTGTTTTTATGTAAAACATGTTCTTAAAGCTAATAAAATAATAGTACTTGGTGTATGAACTACTCCATAATACCCTAGCTGCAGTGTCTACTCCTCAGCTCGATTTGCCATCATGGAGTAAAATTTCATTGTAGTTCAGTTCATAATTGGCATATTCAGTCCACGAAGGACTAACCCAGCTGCGTTCTTAAGGGGAATTCTCTCTATGCAAGGTTTTAAAAATTAGTCATGCGGTCAGAGTGTAGTTTTCCCACATGTCCTCCATAGCAGAGTGTATATTTCATGAACATAATTCAAAAACAACTATTTCAAAAATGTCCCTTTTCAAATATTACCTTCCTGCCTGGGCCAGTGAGTTGGATAAACACAAAGAAATCAAATACCATTCAGCCCTATTTTATTCTTCAACCTATGTGCACTAGCTCTCCAGAGAAGACTTTCTTTATTCACTAACCTGTAATTAACTGCCATTTTTATAGCAATTTCCCATTAAGCATTCCACATACAATATTGACCTCAGAGAAAGTTGAAAAGTGTACAATTTTTTTTTTCTGTGTGAATTTGTCAGTGCGAGGAGATTGAAAACTCGGCCATCAAAGTAACTGCAGGTCCCCTGGTGTCTTAGAATGGTGCCAGAATATCTCCGCGCGCTTGTAAAATTAGCAGTCACCTTCCTTGCCATCTACAGGCTGCTGCTGTGGCTGCTGTTCTTCCTTCTGCTCCTCTGCAATGAAATCTCTGGGTCCTTTCTAAGCTCTTTGGGCAACTGCTGTGAAACAATAGCTAAAGTAATTGTTTCCTAAGGACCATTACCTTGTTTTATGACACTGGCAACTCTCCTAAAACCTGCCATCAGAAAAATGGACCCTGATGCAGAGACCTCAAATACCAGCAACTCTGGGGTGGGCGGAGGGGGATAAAACTGCCAGATAAGGAAACTGGGAAATTTGGAATAAGGAAATGTGGAGCTTCGAAAGGTTCCGAATGACTGGTACTTGGGAAGGCAGCACGTTTTAAATACAGATAAGGGATTTCTACAAACAGAGGTAAATGGACAATTAGGAACTGCTAAAGAAAC